CTAATCAGCGCTCACTCTCAGACCAAATAAACGGGGCCGGCCAACTAGGTCCACAGATCAAAATCCAAACCGCTGGCCTCCCCATGATATGACAGAAGCTGAGGAAAAGGAAGGYCGTGCCTGAAGACTGGTAAAGTAATAATAACTATAATAATARTGAGAATAAKAATKTTAATCGCTSAAAAGGAAAGGGTGGCGTCCMTGAATTTCTCCGCGCAACACCCTTGCCTGAACAGCGACCCACATTCACGCACAAGTCTAACACTCGATTTTCAACCTTTTTCTTTCCTTTTATTTCTCTCACTAATTTTCCTCCTTTTAGTCCTCACTGTATCTGCTTCTTATCCTGGCCACCGGGGTCCGCGCGATTCAGACAAATAGGTCTGGTACGGGCAGTATACGAGGGGTCAGGTAGGACGCAGACCATAAAACCCGTTGCAGTCTGAAATCTGAATCGGTAACCCTCCCTACGAAGTGACAAAACTACCGTTGAGAAGCTAAGATTAGGAAAATTATGTAAATAACAATAACAACAATAGACAGGAAATCATAGCATCTCAGTAACTTGCGGCCTCAGCATTTTCCCCATACAAAAGGGGGTTTAAATCTTGGCGTTTTTATTTTTCTTTTTCTCTTTTCCTTTCCGACAACGACTTTCTGTTTCATGCACCTAACCCATAACTTGCCTAGGGCGCGATCGGCGTGCATCAGAAAAGACAACACCAGTCTTTTCACCTCCGCATCCCAGGGCGAACCCGGCGGCTACCACGGCCACAGGCCGGTTGTGCTCTGCTGTACAGCAGGGCGCCGAGCCTGCGTGGACCAATGGAAAGCCCTGTGGCGCACCTTTTTGTTGAGGCGAGCACCAAACAGGGCCGGCCCACGTCACGGTACAGCCCGGGTACCAGGGAACTTAATCCCGGAACACTCATTGACCTCCCATAGGCCACGATACCAAGACAGAAGGTTGATATCAGGCAGGGTCCTGATACACGGAGGAGGGCCGGATCGCCGTGCCCTTCGACACTGTTGTCCAACCGCAAAGCAACAACAAGTCCCGAGGAAACGGGAAGGCGAAAACCGCATCGCCGGCCGGAAACGAACAGCCAGCACCATGGGTGAAGTTTCACTTGACCGAGGCGGAATACAAGTGGCGCGGCCGCTATGGCTGCAGCTATTGGTGCAACAGCACCAAGCACAAGACCTCCCAATGCCTTGATCAAGCCAAGGAGGATGTTCGGCCTCGTATCAACTCAGGAAACTGAGTTGCGCAGGAGGTGAGGCGACTCCACCTCTCACTCCGCCAGATTCGGCCGCCTTGCTAGCGGCCTCCTACACATTTGGGGAGGATGCGAATGTCGCAAGTCCTCGGTACACTTACGAGGACTATGCTGTCCACTTGTTCCCACCGTTGGACCAACCGCTCCACGTGCAACAATCTACCGCATGCACGGTTTCATCACCATCAGCAACCGATTCGGCAGCTTCGCCGCCATCTACCACCAGGGATTCAACGTCATGGTCAAGACTTGAAGAGCTGACCCGTTGACATTTGCGGACTTCCAATGGATGCCCCTTCCCCGGTCCGGTCGATTGCCGAAACCGCATTGCAATGTGCTCATGGCACAATTGCGGGATTACTTGCACACTGCAGTACCAACTCCGTTGATGGACACCGGAGTAGAGGTTGTCGACCTTCACGCTTACATTGCGAAGATCGACCGCGAGTTCAAGACGCAACGGTACGACGACATCGATGCACCATTGTTATATGTACGCATTCAGATCGGAGAGGAGACCTGCAGCGCTTTGATCGATTGCAGAGCATCTCGCAACTACATGAGCCAAGACTTCACGGTACGCGCTGGCCTTGGCCCACGTGTCCGAAGGAAGTCCCAGCCGACGCAAGTCACGTTGGCAGACGGTCACACGCACAAGTCAATAGACCGGTGCATTGATGACGTCCCCGTGTACTTTGCCCCGCACGCGAGCGAGGCGGTGTCCTTCGATATTTTGAACACCAAATTCGACATTATCTTGGGCATGTCATGGCTGCGCAGCGAGGATCACCCGGTGAACTTCTACCGCCGCACCGTTCACGTTCGTGCTCGGAACGGAGTAATAGTCCCATGCACGGTAGCTCCTCCTCACCTTCCAATCAGTTGTCACGTGGTGTCCACCGCAGGCGTGCGAGCTTCCATCATCCGAGACGACATCGAGGAGATGGGGGTGTGTTTTCTCCACGCCCTCCCGCCCCATGACGCTTCATCGACGGACTCATCTTCGGACCCACGCATCACCGAGCTTCTCGACGCCTACGGCGACATGTTTGAAGGCCCGCACGGAGTAGTACCGGATTGACCCATCCGCCACGAGATCATCCTCGAGGACGAGGCCGTACCTCCACGCGGTTACATCTACCGAATGAGCGAGGAAGAGTTAAGTGTGCCACGGGCACAACTCGACGACCTTCTAGAGAAAGGCTGGATACGGCCTAGCTCATCGCCATAGGTCCTCCTGTTCTCTTCGTCCGGAAGAAGAACAAGGATTTGCGGTTGTGCATCAATTATTGCAAGCTCAACGCGCAGACGAATAGAAACGTCGGCCCTCTCCCACGCATCGACGACCTTCTCGAACGACCGGGCGGCGCCAAGTTCTTCTCCAAGCTGGACCTCAAGTCGGGATATCACCAACTCGAGATTCGGAAGGAGGACCGCTACAAGACCGCGTTTAAGACGTGATATGGGCATTTCGAATGGCTGGTTATACCATTTGGCCTTACGAATGCCCCGGCCACTTTCCAAGCGGCTATGACAACAGAGTTCCGACACATGCTGGATCGATTCGTACTTATCTACCTCGACGACATCCTGGTGTACAGCCGGAGTTTGGACGAGCATGTGGAACACCTGCGCACCGTTTTGGAGCGGCTACGACAAGCCAAGTACAAAGCCAACCGCGACAAATGCGAATTCGTGCGGCAGGAGTTGGAGTACTTGGGACATTATGTGACGCCACAAGGCATCCGTCCGTTTGCGGACAAGATCCGAGGCCATCCGCGTATGGCCCAAGCCCACCAACACCACGGACGTTCGTTCATTCATGGGGTTGGCTGGCTACTATCAGCCATTCATCACCGGATACTCAAGGATTGCTGCACCTATGACGAGATTACCATCACCAAAGGTGCCATTCGTATTCGATGACGACGCACGCCAGTCATTCCAAGCACTTAAGACGGCCATGCTTATGGCACCCGTCCTTACCATCTATGACCCCACCCTGCCTACGAGAGTGACAACTGACGCTTCCGGGTATGGCACTCGGGCAGTCTTGAAACAACACGACGACGACGACTGGCACCCTGTGGAGTATTTCAGCCACAAAGTGCCTCCCATCAACTCGCTTGATGATGCAAGAAAGAAGGAGCTGCTCGCGTTCGTGATGGCTCTCAAGCGATGGCGGCACTTCCTCCTTGGGCGTCGTAGGTTCACATGGGTTACGGACAACAACCCACTGACTTACTACAAGACGCAAGATACAGTGAGCAGCACGATCGGGCGATGGATGTACTTCATCGACCAATTTGACTTCACACCGAAACATCTTCCCGCCCTCTCCAATCGCGCAGCAGATGCACTCTCGCGAAGACCTGATCTTTGCGCTATGACACATCATGCCTTCCCATTCGACGAGGAACTTCAGCGACACTTCATCCGGGGATATGAGTCGGATCCGGACTTCGCCACGTTGTATGCGCAGTTATCTTCGGATCATCCGCCGGCCAGCCACTATCGCATTGCCAATGGGTACGTGCTCCTCCACTCGAGAGGCAAGGACTTATTGTGTGTCCCACGAGACCGTCGTCTTCGGACTCGCCTTCTCGGCGAGTACCATGACTCGCGACTCGCCGGCCATTTCGGAGTCAACCGCACCATTGCACGGCTTCAACAACGATTCCGATGGCCCGACCTCATTACCGATGTCACTCGGTATTGCGACTCTTGCGAAGTTTGCCGACGAAGCAAGCCCCGCAATCGCAACCCCTATGGCGAGTTGCGCCCGATGCCTATCCCACGGGAACCCGGCCTCTCAATTGCCATGGATGTCACCAGACCATTTCCTCGCGATCGCCTCGGGCACGACGACATCCTCACGGTTGTGGATCGTTTGAGTAAGTATGCGCGTTTCCTCCCTTGCAAGTACTACTCCACGGCTCCCAAGCTGGCACGCCTCTTGAACACCGGTTGGATTTGTGGCCACAGTGTACCAGAAGACATAGTCAGCGACCGCGACACGCGCTTCATGTTGGCATTTTGGACTGCTCTCATGCAGGAGTCCGACACGAAGATGAAACCAAGTTCGGCTCGGCATCCACTGACGGACGGGCAGATGGAGCGGGCACATCAAACCGCTCAAATGATGCTTCGTACGCTCATCCGTCCGGACCAGAAAGATTGGGTTGACCGCCTCCCCGACATCGAGTTCGCCTACAACACTTCGGTGCACCCGGCGATCAACGTGACTCCATTCGAGTTGCACCACGGTGGACGGAAAGGCCGTATCTTCGCCGACCTTCTCCTCCCACGACAGCCGACATCGACTCCGCTTGCTCTCCGGCTTTCGTCCGGAAGTACAGGGAATTGTTGGCTCAAGCCCGCGCGAACATGCAAAAGGCTCAAGTCCGTATGCAGCAACAAGTCAACAGGCGTTGCGTGCCATGTCCCATCCGCGCTGGTGATCTGGTTTGGGTCTCCGCGGAAGAGTTTGCACTGGAACAGGATGTTTCATGCAAACTGCTTCCCAAGTGGTTTGGACCATGGCCCGTAACATCAGCCGCGGGCGATGAGCCCGATGGCCCTTCATTTGTGATCAACATCCCGGCGCATCTGACGGTCCATCCAGTCTTTCACGCCTCAAAGTTGGCAACATATACACCAGCTAAGAGCGACGACTTCCCAGGCCGATGATCGCAGGACCCTCCATCTATGGATGGTCATCAGGAGGTTGACCGCGTCATCACGGATCGCAAGTACGGCAACAAGCCGCGACAGTACAAAGTTACATTTAGAGCATGCGATCCCGACGACACTCGGTGGATTTCAGGAACAGATTTGAAAGCATCTGCACCACTGATCTACGCTCACTACGAGCGACAGAGGTTACCTCAGGGACCTTCACGACCTGCCCCTCCCACCCGGACTGTGGTCCCTCCCTCAGACAGACAGCTTCGCCCTCGCAGGTAAGCTCGGTTCTTCAAGGAGGGGGGGGTGTGGCATACTACGTAGCCACACGGGCCTGCAGGGCCCGTCCCGCGTTCTCAGCCTAAAAGCCTAGAAAATAGGGCTTACAGGCCCCATGTCGTTTCAGCCTGAAACTGAAAACGAGGGCCTGCAGGCCCTATTTCGTTTTCAGCCTATAACAGGGCTTTTCAGCCTGAAACGGAGGGCCACTTTCGGGCCCTCGTAAGATCGACCTACCCTAAGACTCCGGCACAAAAACAGGGTTTCGGGAACAGGCTATCTTTAGCCTGTTCCCACGACAGCCTCAAGCAGGAGCTGCAGCGGCAGTCCCTGACTCCCTGTGGCATTGGCAAGAGCAGCCTCCTGGACTGCCTCGCCCTGCAGTCAGGAGGCAGGCTGTGTAGTACATAGGAAGTCCCATGCACTTCACGGGTAGGTAGTTGGACAGTAGGCACGAGTAGTCTTCAGGATTCGGCTGCAGCACTCAAGAGGAGCGCTGCAGGAGGTAGCTTAGCGCTAGCAGTAGTCTTCAGCGCTGGGCGCTAGTAGCCATAGCGGTAGTCTTCAGCGCTGGGCGCTAGTAGCCATAGCGGTAGTCTTCAGCGCTGGGCGCTAGTAGGTGGTAGTGGTAGTGTGGGAGAGAGATGGCTGGCGGAGGCCAGCGAGACTTACCTGTGGCGCCATAGCTCCAGCTCCATCTTCGAGGTACCTGCATCAAGGCGCCAACTTCACAGGTTAGTACCAGACTGAGAGAGAGAGAGAGAGTTCTTCTTCTTCCTCTTCTAAGTCCACCATCTCTTCTTCCCCTCTCACCATCTAACTTCTCAGTATCAGCGGACTACTACAGAGAGAGAGAGTTGTGACTTGAGACTTGACGACATTGGATTCAGACACGACATTGGGATTCAGACATTTGACGAGGGGCTATTTGGGCCTGTGGCGAAGACTTGGTGTTGACGACATTCCCATCTTACCCTCTTCTTCGTCTAACCCCCCTCTTCTTCGTTTGTGTATGGTTCGGGGCTGGCGCATTCTTCCTGTGTGAGCGCCAGACCCCTTCACACCATGGGGATGATGATGATGATGTATGTTCTGGGCTGCATTGCAATATTGATTGTTCGGATCATTGGTATCTAAGTTTTCCGCTGCGCTATCTTGTACTTTGTATTGAGAGGTCGGTTCTTGTTCTGGTCTGCACCGTTACAATATGCAACAGATACTTGCTCGTTCACTCATGGGGGCAGGATCTACTTTGTGTGCCGCAAGATTCACACTTGCACACGCAGCTTCTTGGCGAGTTCCACGATGCCCCCGCCACCGGACATTTTGGAGTCAATCGCACGATTGGCCGACTCCGCGAGCGCTTTTGGTGGCCCGGTCTTCTCGACGACGTCACGCGCTATTGCGAGTCATGCGAGGTTTGCCGACGTTGCAAATCACGCAATCATCGTCCGTACGACGAACTGCGACCATTACCGGTCCCCTTGCGCTGAAGGGAAGTGATTGCCATGGACATTACCGGGCCGTTCCCCAAGCACAAGACGGGTGTGGATGGGATTCTCACGGTGGTTGACCGACTCACCAAGTTTGCCATGTTTTTGCCTTGCCGCTATCATGCCAAGGCATCGGAGTTGGCCGAGGTTCTCTACGCCGGTTGGATTCGAACCAAGGGTTACCCCAAGGAGATCGTCTGCGACCGCGACACTCGGTTCATGTCCGATTTTTGGTTGGCGCTCATCAAACGATGGGGCTCATCCCTCAAGCCAAGTTCGGCTCGCCACCCCCAAACTAATGGCCAAACGGAGAGGGCACATCAGACCGCACAGGTCCTCCTTCGAACTCTCATCCGTCCCGACCAGAAAGATTGGGTTGAGCGGCTCCCGGATGTCGAGTTGGCATACAACTCGTCCATTCATCCGACTATCGGGATGTCGCCCTTTGAGTTCGAGCATGGCTCGCCGGTCAATTCTTTGTTGGACACAATCATTCCACGGGCGGCCGAGAGCGACGACCATCTTCTCTTCATTCGTCGGATGCAAGAGCTTCTTGTCAAGGCACGCGACCAGATGGCAAAGACGCAGCAACGTATGCGGCAACAGGCCAACCGCCAGCGTCTTCCTTGTCCATTCCGCGCCGGCAACCTCGTATGGGTTTCCGCTGCGGAATTCAGCCTCGAACAAGATATCTCTCGCAAGCTCCTTCCGAAATGGATGGGGCCCAGGCCGATCGTGGCATCTGCTGGGGACGCACCCGAAGGACCTTCGTTCATCATTCAGGTGCCCGCCCACTTGGCCGTCAACCCGGTCTTTCACTGTTCCAAGTTGGCTCTCTACACGCCAGCGGAACTTGACGACTTTCCCGGGCGCCGATCGCAAGACCCACCCTCGATGGACGGTTTCCAAGAGGTTGGCGACATCATATCCCAGCGACGTTACGGCAACAGGCCGACTGAATTTTTGGTCCACTTTCCATATTGCACCCATAGAGCTGACCGATGGCTGACTCGTGCGGAACTTCAAGCAACAGCGGCCGATGCTCTCGCATGCTATGAACAGAAGTTGAAAGGCAAGCCGGCATCTTCGGCTCCACGACGCACACGCGCCCAAGTACCGCCTTCAGATCGCCAGCTTCGCCCCCGATCGGCTTGACTTCATAAGGAGGGGGGGGGGTGTTACATGCTGCACCTGCACACGGGCTCCATTTGAGGGGCCCGACAGTTGCTGAGGGGCCCCCAGGCCACGTACCATCCAGCACGCGCCCTGGAGGCCCACGGTGGTCCTCCAGGCCCTAGGCATCACACTAGGTAGATAGGTTTTATTTTACTTAACCTTTTTTGTGTGTGTGTGCTGTCTTATTTTTGTCTATTCAGGTGCCGTTTCGGACTGGCAGCCCCAAGGCCGGACCTTGGGACTGGGTACACCGGAGGCAGGCCCGAAACGAGGCCAGGCGCATTTTGGCGGCAAAGCGGTAGGTACAGGCGTCGTTTCGGCCCTGCAGGACCCAAGACGACACCTTGGGCCAGGTGCACCGGTAGGAGGCCGTTTTTAGGCCAGGCGCATTTCTGTGCCATGCAGCATCAGCAGCAGGGTCTGCATGTCCGGTAGGGACCCAGACCACCTGGGCCGTTTTCTGAGGGCCAGCACCAGGTAGGCCCAGCCGCCCAGCGCTACAAATAGCTGGGCCACGGCTGGGCAGGGGACAGTTCGAGTAGCTCACTTCTGGGCGACACGCTGCTGGTTAGGAGAGCGCTATGCTGCGCTAGGCTGCGGAGCAGAGAGTAGAGACATAGAGGAGATAGGGAGTGGCGGAGGCCATACCTGCAGTCGGCGAGCTTACCTGGCGCCATAGCTGGGCTCCATGCCGTACCTGCACACGACGACGGACAAAGTCAGTACGGTGGCAGCGACCTGCAGGTGAGATAGCGAGGAGGACTTCATCTTCTTCTCTCCCTCCTCCGTCTCTCTCTCTCTCTCTCTCTCTCTCTCTCTCTCTCTCTCTCTCTCTCTCTCTCTCTCTCTCTCTCTCTCTCTCTCTCTCCCTCCTCCTTCTCCCTCCTTCCTCTTCTTTCTCATCTTCTTCTTCGAATCTGAGAGTGTGAGAGTTTATCAGTAGGGATTCAGGCAGAGGTTATGCTGGGCGCATTGCCCAGGATCTGATTCGACATTTCTGGGACAGACATTGATTGGATACTCGGCAGGGGACTATTTTTTTGGGACTTCGCTATTGCGATCTTGGTCTACTCCCTCGCCTCCTTCCTCTTCGTCTCGTCCCTCCCCCATCTCTCATCCATGGCATCTCCCCATGTATGTGTGCAAAGGAGGGACCTTTCTTCCATGATTGCGGTCCCTCCTCCCTCTCTCACATGTGTGATGTGTGATGGATGTCGGGTCTGTCCAGATCAGATCAGATCTTCTCTTTAAGTCTTCCGCTGTGCCATTTTGTGCCATCTTGTACGTATTCGAAATGTACATTGCGCGTTGATGCTACGCTGACCTTGCATTGTCCATTTCAGTCCTTTTCATCACATAGCAGATCCTTGGCTCCCTGCGCATTGTCCCATCGGGCATGCGTCAACAGGAAGAACAAGAAGATGTCGTCCTCCTCGCTGTCTCACGTGCAGGTACAGCCGCCATCTACTAGCCCCGCCGGCGTGTCTCTCTATGCTGCAGGTCAGTGGCGAGAAGTCCAGCTAGGGCACCCAGGTAAGGACTCCACCGCTGCAGGTATGACCACCGCCTCAACCTCTACCTGCTCCACTACCTCTAGCATAGCGCTATGTCGCGCTGCTCCAGCAGCGTGTCTCCCAAGAAGTGAGCTACTCGAACTGTGTGTCTGCCCTGGCCTGGCCCAGCTATATGTAGTGCCAGGCCTCGTTAATGAGCCTCTGGTCCTGCCCGGAACGGCCTGCCTGGGTCCCTACTGGACGTCCAGGCCCTCCCTGCTAATGCAGCGGGGAGTGTCCGCTACTGGACAAACACGAATCTGGCCCGAAACGGCCTGCCTGCGAACGAAAAAGGCCCAGAACATGGCCTTTGTCCGAACAGACCGAAAGTCTGTTCGAACAAACTGCAAGTCGAAAACGACGCCTGAGCATACAAAAAAATAGGACAACAAATAAATAAATGAATAAACAAATGAATGCTGCCTCAAATCGAATCCTGCGGCCCTAAGGCTGGCCGTGGGCCTCCAGGACACGTGCCTGAACGGTGTATGGCCTGGGGGTCCCCAGCAACAGTCGGGCCCCCGAAACGGGCCCCGTGTGCCGGCTCAGCATGCCCGAGAATGGCCTTGTGAGGACTCCATCCTTGCACAAAGGTCAAAGCTCCCAAAATTCAGTGCAATTCTGCTAGTGTCCAACTGATACCGGTTCATCATTATGAGACAAATACACTGTCATTAGCTGTGACTCAGGAGCCGGTCATCCATGTCAGCATTCGGGTAGAGGAAACAGCCACCACCACAGCAAGAGACAGACAGCTTGTCAGACTATGGTGCAAGACCAGGAAATGACAGAAAAGAGAGCACCATGCACGTGAAGGTCAAAGCTGCCAAATTTCATGGATAGGCCTGCAGGATTCATACCTGTTTCATTAGGCGCTGTTGCTGAAATGGCTGCCAGAAGAGTTCAAAGCAAAGACAGCATGATGAAAAGACAATTAGTTGCAGTCGATGGGATATCATGTATCAACAACTGACAGTGGATAAGGGGCATGCTGGGTCGTTTTCATTGATTGTCTTCAATGCCTCAGTAATCAAATGGGTTTCATAACCAAAAGAGGGGACAAACAACAGTAAAAAGATACTAAGCCAACAGTGCCTTGCACGTGCTCCCCTTCTTCCCGCACAGATGGTGACATAATTTGTTCCTCCCCTTTGGATGTTCACTCCCTACAGCCTTTCTCTACTGCCCTTTCTCTACTGTGTTATGATCCTGGCCAATTTCGAAGTAACACATTCATCAGAAAGTACAATGCCGCGCAATTGCAAAAAGAAATGAATGAATGAACTTGAGAGGGGAGAGAGGGAAAGAAGACGATGAAGAAGATGATGTACACCAGCATAGACCAATGATAATGCTCTTCTTCTTTCCCAACCACTCTCCTACTCCTTATCTCAGCCCTCTTATTCAATCAAGAAATAATAATAATAATGTTGAATGGCTGAACCAGAATCAACGTCTGAATCCCTCTTCTACGCAGGTATCACATGAGGTCCACCATAGCCATGGCACCCTTCTCCTTCCTCTTCTCGAAGGCCTCGGCGATGGTGGACTGCTAGGGCCTTGCCCTGATGTGCAGAAGACAAGTCAAGCAGCTATGGCAGCTCTAGCTCAGGCCGCCATGCCTAACTCTGCCCCGAAGCTTCTTGGTATAGCTCTACCCCGCTGGGGCCTTCTTGCTGCAGCGCCCACCAAGGTGATGAAGATGGCAACCACCATAGCCAGGTAAGTACCTCCGGCACTCCCCCTTCCTAGTCATGGTCTTCTTCCTCCTCTTGTCCTTGCTCCTTCCCCAGCAGCGCTGCTCCAAGCTATCGCTTCTCCAGCCAGCGCTCCAACCTGTGTGTCGCCAAACTTGCACACCGACAATAAGGAGGAGCAAGGTGCTCCTCCTGGAGATATAGTGGCCTGCTTGCCTCTTGACTAGTGACTTCCCAGGCCGCGCGGCCTCCAAGCAACCGGTACCTCCTCCCTTTCGGAGGGAAACATAATTTCAGACTCTGATATCGCCCGTACAGGCCCTAGACTCAGACTGGTTGGACTGGTACCCGCCTAGACCTAGCCTACAACTACAAGGCCTCTAAAAATGACGACTTTTGTCTTCTTCTGCTCGGCCTCGAGTACCCGGCACATCTACCTCTACTTGGTGTGGTACCGGCCTACCTGCTACTTGAGTGTTTTCTGCTGTTCTAATTGTCCCGGGCCTCTTTCCCCGCCACTTGAGTGTTTTCCCCTCTGCAACCCTCAATATTCAGAATCTGATCGTTTTAGCTGTGAGATTCATTCTGTGGAGGACTACCCTGCCCGACATCATTGCAGTAGAGAAAGTATCTTCTTTTTTTTTTTTCCTTTCAGGCGTGGGCAATATAAAACTAAACTTTATGGAACTTGCCGAGCCTCTTGGAAACTCTGAACTCTTCGGGAACAGCCCATTTTCCCTTATTTCCCAACACTGCCAGAGGTACTAGTGGTTTAAGATTACAATGAAAATTTATCCTCCTGCCTCTCCCACATAATTTTACGCTGGAAATTTATTTCCATTCCTTTTGCACCGTTGCTATTTGCTATTTGCTATTTCCATTCCTTTATTTCCATCTTACGGCGGGAATTTTGCACCGTTGTGCCCCCTTGGAAATTTGACCCTCCCCCATTATGCCTGCCTTCCTGTGCCTTCTCAATCCATCACTCTGGAGCCCCATGAATCCCAACGGATCGCTTCATCCCTCTTGGATTTTGATTGGTTTATCGTGCACTTGAGATCCCGTCGTTCCCCCTCCTCTCATTCCCGCCATCACACCCCGACCTCTTCCTGCCCTACCATGTCCAACACTGCATCTTCCCTCCCCTCCGCCAACATCATGCCGTCCGCCACCTCCTCCCATCTGAGTCCACCGTCGCCTCCGTACCACTCACCCATGCAGACCCCACCACTCTCACTTCCCTTGTCGACATCACTGCTCTCCTCCACATGGAAGTTACCAAAAAAAAAAAAAAACTACACCTACCTATAAGGCTATAAGGGCATACTCAGACCGGAACTTTCCTGAATGTATCCAACTGCAATTACGTCCAACCTACGTAGAAAAAGTCCCAGTGTGAGCCCTTTTTCCTTCTTCTTTATCATCTTTTGTCTTTTTCATATTTGGCGAGTGGTGCCGTGCATTGCCTCAGCGTGCTTCCTCTTGTTGAGGGTGCAAGCGTTGTAGTTATGTGCCTCAGGGTGTGTATTGATCCGGATAGGGAATAGGTTGTTGGAAGCATCCTCTTTCTTGCCTAGGCTGGAATGTAAGTATTGATCTGGATAGGGAGGAGGAAGTAGGAAGCATCCTCTTCCTTGACTAGGCAAAGTGAGCATCATCCGCTCTGAAAGTGCCTTAGTGCCATCAGGATGGTTGGAGGGCAAGCTGCTGAAGTGATGGTGGCTCTTTGGTGACCAGTCTTGCCAGAGGGTGTGAGAAGGCGGTTCGGTATCAGTCGGGTGACTCTGTTTTCCTGAGTTTTCTGTGTCTTCTCTGGCTGGAAAAGAAAAAACAAGAAAGACCTGTCAGAGTGGGGAAGAATAGTAAGTGGGGTTGGCTCAACTGTTTTCTGGATTTGGCCTGCACTTCTTGTTGTATTCGTCAATTCTTCGTCAGACTTATTCTCATTTTTTCACAATAGTCGGAGACTATTCAACAGTTCTAAGCGCAAGCCAGGTAATGCCCTTGGTATCTATATCATTCTTGAACCATTTTGTAAGAGACGCCGGGGCCCGTTCCCAGCATGTGATGCTCCCCACAAATTGATTGGAGCAATTTTTCCCAAAATAAAGAAACAAAGGTGAGTGGCACGACGAGGCGCAGTATCTGTTGAAATCCGCCTGCATCCAGCACTCAAACTAGTCTAGATACAGGGGCTGGCTTCGTGGAGATTTTGGCTGGAGTGGCACATTACTGAAAACAAGGGCCTCCTTTTCGTTCCATCTGCTGGCAGCAGGTTCCACACTTCAGTTTCACAGCCGCCGATAACGGTACCACCCCCAATTTTCCAAGCGGTGGCACTGGTCACTTTCAGGATTGGAATTATTTGGTTCATCAATTTAGCTTCCGATGTACTGGTGGTTTAAGTACTTACACCCCTGCAGCCTATCAAGGAGGTCATCGATGCGCGGTAGAGGCTCTCCGTTACATCCCGTAATGGCATTGAGGCCCCTGTACTCAAGGATGTGTACCTCCCTTTTTCCGAACAAATAATACAAGCAACCCGTTCTTGATAAGTTCCTTGAGTTGCTTGCACAGCTCAGACATTTCTGCACAGCACAGTGTTGCACACCCCGACCGTCTGCGACCCTTGACTGGTCAGCACCTACTAGTCGGGGGTCGTCAGCACCCCGCAAAAAAAAAAAAAAAAAAAAAAAAAAAACCTTTTTTATTTGGGTCCAGAACCCCTAATACCAACCCCA